ATTCAGGACCTCTTCTTGAACTAGACTTTGAAAAATCAAAAGCTGCTTAATTTCTCCATGAGGCAAGGGAAGCTTCACGTTTACTGCCTAAAGCTCAGCCCTCCTTCTTGAGGGTAGGGAGGAAAAACAGCCTCTTGTTCTTTCCTGATGAACTTACTGCCAAGGAAACAAGAGTTCATTCTCAAACAGGCCATCCTGCCAAAATGTTTATAGTCACTGGCTCTAGTTGGAGTTCCAGGTGATTCAGACTTTCCTCTTTCTACTTTCCTGTATTTTTGAACTTTCTACAGTGATTCTGTATTCCTCCTGTATGTCAGAAAAAAACGCACACAAAAATTCCTGTTTTAAGTATTGCCCCTCCCCTCAAACTTTGAAGATGTTTTTTATTCTAGGTGAGAATCAGCTACTTTGACCCCTAAGCATCTCACTTGTGCCTTCCTCGATCACAGCCCTTATCACTCTACATGGTCAGCATTGCCTTGTTTTTCAGGTCCTCTGTGCTTAGTTCATTCACCAGTATAGAGTAGGCTTGTCTATTGAGTAAATTAATAAGTCAATGAATGAATAAGTGAATGACTGTGAAATCCTGTATTACCTGCTCAACTCTAAACTTTAAAATTTTTCCTAGTCATTTAGAGTTCATATCTATTAGGGCAAAGGTGATCCTTTAAGACCAAGATAGTTCCCCAAAGATCAAGAATCCACGATGGAGGGGGGAGGGTATAGCTCAAGTGGCAGAGCACATGGTTAGCATGCATGAGGTCCCGGGTTCAATCCCCAGTACCTCCTCCAAGAATAAATAAACCTAATTACCTCCCCCCACCAAAAAAACAAAACAAAAAATTGTTAAAGTTTCTTTAGTATATAGCACAGGCACTATGTTCAGTATCTTGTAATAACCTTTAATGAAAAAGAATATGAAAAATATATGTATGTATATGTGTAACTGGGACACTGTGTTGTTCACCAGGAATGGATACATTGTAATTGACTGTCCTTCAATTAAAAAAAAAAGAATCCATGATGGAATTTGAAATCTGGCAACCTTGCTGACAGAGAAACTTATAACTTACTTGAAACATTTCTGTATTTCTGATCCAAGCTCCTTGCTAATCCTTATATTAATTAATCTTTAGAAATGTACTTGGAAGTATGAGAGCCTTGGGCTATGATGGAGTATAGCTGGGAACGTTCTCATTTGTCGTCTCCTGCTGTTTAAAAAAGAACAGCCACCTCCATAGCCAGGTTCCATTGACGTATATGTGTTTTCTGGTCTGTTTCATAGGAATAGAAAGCTGATGGTTCAAGTGCAGAACAGTAAGAGTGAAGGGGTGGGAGAAGGGCAAGTGATTATCCTAAATCCTTAGCTCATTTCTATACTAGGATTTCAGGGGTTCAAGAAAGCCCTCCGGTACTCCAAGCATTCTCCATTTCCTCACTCCCTTAATAGAGGAAAAAAGCTTCTATTCCAAGATAAGGCCAACCCTATAAACTCACCTCCAGGAAAGGGACATGGGCTCACAGCCATATCACGACTCAGGCTGCATCCCACACCTGGAAAGGGGAGAGAGAGGCCCTGCAGAGACCAGGAAGGGAAGTTTGGAGAGCTCAGTCCATCCCTGACCAGTCCCAGTCTTGCCCGGAGATTGTCTAGCTTTTGGACTCGAAGCAGGCTATTTAACATTGGAACTGTTGGGTTTGTATTTCTCTGAGGTCTAGATAACGGAGCTTCGGGTTTTCTCCCCTTACCCTGTACTGCGGAGAACAGGACTGAGCAGCCTGATGAGGGACGCATAGCTGGGAACAGCACAAATGCAAAAGAGGACTTGCAAAGGGGAAAGAGTTCTTCTCTGTTTTAAGAAACCTGCTGATATAGGGAATGCGCCTGATTTTGTGCAGAAATGCTGCCTTTGGTGGACCAAATTCAGCCACAATCAAGCTAATTGAATGCACAAATGTAATATTTTTCCAGGGCACCTCCAATTTAATGCTTGATGAAATCGTGTCTTTCGCATATATTTACAAAAGCTTTTCTTCATCCAGAAATGTCTGTTAAAATTGCTTATAGATGCTGAGATAGCAAATCACTCTTCTAATGTAATGAGATAAGTCATCTCTATAAACTTTGCTTGCTCAAATGTACTCGCATAAAAGAAATCAGGCTACAGGCTTTTTCCAATAAATAGAATGAACAACTGGAACTTGATGGCTATAGCATGTTCTGCCTCATTGCTAAGGGATGTTTAAAATTGCTCCCTCTCTCTCTCTCTCGCAGCGGAGTTTTCATTTTGGTGGCTGATGGAAAAAGGAGGTCAGGTAAACTGATGTGGTTAAGAAGCCAAAGCCGTTTGTCAAAACGTGGGGAGAGGCCTGGAGATTGGAGTCATTTTAAGACTAAAAATTGATTTAAAAGATTTCTGTCCTCAAATCATTTTTCTTGCTAAACGTCGCCACTTGGTGAGCCTGGTTTTCCCTGCTCTAGCTATCTTTACTAATAATTCACGCTGCAGGAACTGCACGTCCTGGGAGGGTGTGTATGCATAGTCGCTGGTGCACAGTCCAGTAAGATGGGTCCAAAGATCAAGAGTCCGTGGAAAAGACGAGGCCTTGAGAGGTTTATCCATCTGTTTCTAAGTAAGATTTGTCTCCCAGCTCTAATCTGGAAGCCAGCTCTGGAACAAAAAGGCTTAGGAGGCCATGTCACACACGCCTCCAGTCACCATAGAGAGCCATCATATATGGCCACTCAGGTTGTGCACTGAGTAACTCCAGGGGACATACCATTCACGGAGGCTACAATGTGAAGGGTGCTGTCTGGAGCTGTGCAGTGGGACAGCCGTGTCCAGCCCCAGCACACAGGTCAGGGGGGAATAATATCACCTTCATGTTCACAATCATAGTTTGAATTTCCATGTCTGCACTGCCTGCATTTACCTTTAACGCTTCAAAGAATAAAAGCCAAGTTCTTATTATCAGCTGACAAAATGTTAAAGCCTGCCCTATTCCTTCTCTTTACAAAGTAAAATCATTTGGGAGAAGATTCAAATCTCCAGATGGTTCTCTTTACTTCAAGAAATGGTTTGGACAGCTCAACTGTGGAGTCCAGAGTCCAGAGTCTGAGCCCAAATTCCAAGCGCCCTTTCTGTCGGTTTTGGAAAATACTGTAGGCAGCCACTGCTCCATTCAGGGGAGAGACAGCAGGTGGTGTTTGCAAGGGTTCTCCGGGGGCCTTCCCTGTGCCAGTCTGCCTTTTGGATTTTTCCTGCCTGCTGGAGGGTCCAGACCAGCCAAACCCATGGCCAAGCCTCTCTGGGGCAGGGCAGGAGCAGAAGCTGCCGTCTGGCGGCCCACCCTTGCCTTCCCCCACCCCTACCTTTCCCAACATGCAGTGTGGTGGGAGGAAGCAATGTCTAAGTGCTTCCTGATCTGAAACACTGCTCCCCACAACCGCCGCTCAGCCCGATCAGTTCTGGGGTCAAACCATCATGCGGGAGGAAGCAGAAAGTCCCCACTTCCTATGCAGTTCTTTGAACCCTGCCCCCAGCACACCAAAAAGTACAGTTTGGGATAGGACATCTGAGAAAACGCCCTATTTTTTGCTTAACTTGCATTTTAAAGACTATCGCCGTGGCCTTTAAGGCACTCTCTGGGCCGCTGGTGACTCAAGAGCCACGTTCCGTCTGAGTCTCTATGTAAAGTTTGCCAAAGGTCAAAATAGCAAATCAGTCAGCCCACAGATGTGTATCACACAGTCAACATGGTGTCATTTCCACTGGATCCGAGTGCTGGGAGTAGGGCAGGCGTTCTCCATTTCTCCAGAACCCCCTTTCTGTCCTACCAGCCCGTCTCACACGTGCATTTCTGTTACCTGCCTAGTTCCTGCAGACCACTCAGTGTGTCAAGAATTAGCGACTGACACGGCATCCTCTACCAGGAGGAAATGGTGTGTGAGAGTTTGGGGACAGTCAGCAACGCCACCCCCAGCCCCGCACCAGCTATAGGAAGGTACCTGTGTGAGCGGGCTGTCTGCGGCATCCTGGGCGAGCTGCCTGTCAACAGCACGTTTACCTTATGAATGGAGATAAGGATATAAACACACATACCTGCTTATCATGCAGCCCATCCATGGAAAGGATCAGAAACCAGGTGATGCTACAAAGGCCCCTGGCTGGCTGGGAAGGAGTGGGAGTGGGATGTAATTTTCACCATATTTACACGTGCCTTTTGAAACGTGACGCCCTTGCGTGAATTACCTATCACCCACTCTCAGAACCATCAGAATGTGCGTGGAGAGCTTCCTCCCAGCTGTAAAACCTCCCCTTAGATTTGAGGGCCCAGCTCACCTGCTTCCTTCCCTGGGTCGCCTTTCTCAGTCCTCCCAGTCAAAACCAGTCGCTTCCTTTTCTGTGCACCCACCCGCTTTTCTACATCTGCTGGACAAACATGCTGTAGCCTGACTCACGGATGGGTGAGCCCTTGAGGTTGAAGCAGGATGTTATTTATTTTTGTAATTCTTATGGAAATATTAGCAATATTTGGTAAAGAGTCCAACCCCCACCCCCGCTTTCCTCCAGTTTGAGGCCCCCATGGACGCTTGTTTTCACCTGAATTACCAGTAGAAAGATGAGCAGACGGAGGTCATTCTGGAATCTTTCCCCCGATAGGTACTGTCACCCCCTGGGCGCATCTAGCTGGCCCAACAGAACCTCCTATTGATGGAAATGTTCTCTGCCTGTGCTGTCCAATGCACTAGCTGCTAACCACGCGTGGATACTGAGTATCTGTAATGTGGATACCGGGACTGAGGAACTGAATTTTTAATTATTTATTTAAGCAAATTTAAATGTAAACAGCCACATCTGGATAGCAGCTACCTTATGGGACAGCCCAGTTCCAGAGCCTTCCTCCTCAAGGGGGGGACAGCTTTCCCCTGTCGCACAGGACAACCCTGAGGCATGTCTGATTCTGAAACAATTAAACTGAGAGCAAGGTCAGCGAAGTACTTGTTCCTAAAGTAAAAATTCAGTTTATTCATCTGTTTATGGCACAGTACACAAGAAGCAACGTGTTTCACATCATAGATTTCACTTCCAACTCTTTGGAATGTTCACTTCTTTGGCTAAAATGAGAGACTAGATGGGATAGCCAGGTAATGCTCAGGCAACTAAAATCAGGCTGGGGAGGGTGGGCGGGCAACGCTGACGTCGTCCTCCCAGGGGTGGGCACGAGGGGGCTGTTAGTCGCAAGCTGACTGGGTAGAACTGTTAGCGGGGAGCGTGGGAGCGTCCCTCCCGGGTGCGCGGGCCGTCGCAGGCTTCAGTCATCCCCACCGCACAGGTACAGCAGCGCTTTCTGGTAGTCGCCCTTGGTGTCTTGCTACAAATAGCCAAGGAGAAAAACAAAAATTCAGGGTCAGGAGAAAGACCAAACTCTGCAGCGACGGGCAGGCAGGCCCACTGCAATGGAAGCTCTCCTGCTACTAATGAAGAGGAGACCCTGTGGGACCTGCCCAGACACACCCAGACCGTCGGAGGACCCTCAGGGAGTGCGGCCCCGGGGAGATCACTGTGCCCAGGGTGGAGCGGACACCGGGCACTGGGCATTAACAGGGTGCATGACCAGAGGACAGAGCCCTGTGCTCTTCCTGCAGTGGGTCCTGCGAACACTGCCTTCCTCCCTGGCCCTCACCCCTTGCAAAGACACACAAGGTATTTTCCTGCCTCACTGTGTTGTTTCACAGATGCTTAAAGTCACGCGGGAATAAGCTGATGAATTAAGGGAACAATTACTAAGAGTCTTAAGGGGTCCCCTAAACTTTAAACACACGCTCCAGTAAACCTGGTTACAGCAAACCCAGCTCTAAACTCATCCCTGGTAACCACTGACATGCCTTTGAAATTTTCAGTATCTTTCAAAAAAGTGGGGTTGCAACACCTGTCCGAACCCTACACAGCGGGAGGGACCAGTGTGAATGCAATCACTGCTCGTACACGAATGCCCCATCTCTCCAAAACGGAGGCAGGATACAGGGATGGGAGAGAGAGGAGTTCTGAGTGAGGAAGTCTTGCCAGGCTTATCACAGAGGAGTTTCAAGAAATGGAAACAGACTAAAATGCAAATTTAATTCATCTCGGTCTCCTCAGGATGTCGGCAAGTCTTGAAAGATCATTGTCACGAGTGCCAGGAATAGGTGTGGGAAATATAAAATATTTGCCCGAATCTGCAAGATTTCAGGACAAATCATAAATGGCACTTTCAAAATAAATCCCTGGTATCTGAGGACTAGCATCTCCTCCCCAGTGAGTAAGAGAACAGGGAAACACCCCCTTGCCACTGTTCTGACAGGCCACCTGCCCAGGACCCCTGGCCCTCGGATGGCCAGGCCCCCGGAGGCTTACCTGGATGTAGTTATACAGGGACTTGCCGTACTTCCTCTTGAATTCAGATCTAATTTTCAGCATGTCCACTTCACTGCGGGAGACCATGATTCTAATCAGGACCTTATCGCGAGTGCCCTTGCCCTGAAAATCAAATCCATGCTCCAGGTTACACTTGGCACTGACAACGGTCATCATTAGAAGGGTCTGGTGAGTTCTCTCGCACGTGGAACTGATCTGTTTCTCGGTGCTGCCCTCTAGGAGACGGCAAAGGTAACAGTGAAACTGCTCCCGCAAGAACAACGAGCATCCTGGACTTCCAAACACACCAGCATGAAATCAGCACAAACCCCCACACTGCGCATTCAGGCCGCATGGACTGAGCGCCAACTGCAAGGCTCAGTTCAGGAAGTGTGTGAGTTCACTTTCTAATCTCTCTCTTCCTTGCTTGTTCTGACTCTGGGGTAATAGGAGGGGAACACTGAGGAACAGGAGCAGGAGTCTGACAGGACTACCACCTGGCATCTTCTCTCTCCCCGGCACTTTGTTTTCTACCTCCCAAAGACCCATGTGCGAGCAGCTGGGAAAAGCAGAAGACAGGTTTGTGGTCTTCTCACAGCTGACTAGTGCACTCCTGCAGCTGGACAGGGGGCCCCTCCTCCATCGGCTGGTCCAGGAGACTCGGCTTGCGGCACAAAAGAAAACCCTGGTGTGGGAACACAGACCGCCTGGGCCGGCTGGCCTTACCTTCATGGAGTCGTACAGCCGGTCAGCAAAATACAGGGGCTTGTTCTGAATGCACTGGACTGTGGAGAGAAGCGAAGGGTGAGCAGCCCCGCTCCAGCCGTGGGGAGCGAAGCCCTGACCCGGGGCACACGTGCCGTTAGGGGGATGGGCTGCAGAGCGGGAGATGAGGAGGGAAAACCAGGGATCCTCTGAAACACTCAGTGGTTTTAAACCAGGGGACTCCGGGGACCACAGAAACCCAAATGTATAGTGAGCTCCCCCAGTGGAGGAGAGAGCCCTTCCTCTTGTTCTCTCGTTCCTCCTGGGCAAGCCCTTCTTCAGTCCCGTATCTTAAATTCATCCAGTGAAGGTGACAAAGCTACCAGCATCATGTGCAGAAGCCACACCTCCCAAAGACGCCTGAACTAACAGGCGGGCCAGGCATTACTTCCGCTTCTGCGCGGTTTCCGGGAGGCCGACGCCCACTAGGCGCGGGGCCCCACGCGCTCACCCAGGTTCAGGAAGGCGTTCTCCAGGTCTCCTTTCACCTCCTTCTTGATGCTCTCCAGCATGTCGTAGGGGCTGTAGCTCTTGTACCTTTCAAATACTGAAGGAAAGCAACAGACCGTTATTATAGCAGAGCCACAGGTCAGAGCTATTGCCCCCAGGGTTATGCATCACAAAAAAAAAGAAACAAAAAGAAGAAAAAGAAGAAAAGAAAAGAAAGAGAAAGAGAAAAGAAAAAGAAAAAGAAGAAAAAGAAAAAAATGAGGCTGATCATAGCATCCTAGACGGTTAGGGATCACCATGTGGACCAGAGTGGACACTGCACTGGTTGCTCTGGGATGGCCATACCCTGGACCTGTCCCGAACGGCACTGCCCAGGCCACGTATTGTGACCATCTTCATCTCTCTGGAGTGGAACCCATTTTTATCTGGGCCACAAGAAACAGGACGTAGCACGCAGCAAGTCTGTTAACTTCCACAAATATGATGGCAAGAGAAAATGGTCCTGACAAGACGGGGCAGCCCACCAAAGCACCAAATGTGGAAAATACTTAGGCGAAAAAAAATATCCAAAATAGAAGAGAGGGATGAATGGATTTGCTGAGGGAAGATGGGTGAGGTTACGCAGTACAAAGTGGACAGGGAAGGGTGGTCTGGCAGACCCGAGCCCCAGCACGGACACCCAGCTGGCCACCCAGAGGGCGTCCATTCTGGCCCCGGGGCTCCAGGACCTCCTGGACCCAGACCCCACCTTTCTGGAGGTGGCACACGCTCCGCTCGGTCATGATGCTGATCCACTTGGGAACATCAGTTCCTTTCCTCTTCACCCAGCATCATAGAGGTCCTACAAGCACAATCGACCGGGAAAGTTAACGACACAGTCCAGAGCAAGGTCATTAAAAACACGTCCTGCAAAACACCCAAAACCCTATGCATTCAATATGCCAAATGAGGAAGGATGACTGAACTGCAGACATGGGCAAAAATGTGCTATTTAGGTCAAAAATCTTAATCAAGAGTAGGCTTCCCTAGGCGCAGACATAAAGCACGAGACTAGACTGTTCGTCAGGTTGGTGCTCAACAAATCTCCCTCCCTGAACCCAGAAGGAAGGACCAAGAGCCTCTGATCACACACAGAAGGACAAGCCAGTGTTCAGCAGCACCCAGTCCCCCCTCCACTGGGCACTACCAATAGCAGATGAGCTAATGGTCAGCTACTGAAGATCGCTACAGGCCAGGGACCCAGCCCCAAGCTTCTTAGAGACTCAGGCAATGATGGAGCCGGAAAACAAGCTGGCCCAACCTCGTTTCTCAGTTCCTAGAAAATTTAGGGGCTACGAGTAATGCTAAGTCTGGCAGGGAAGGAGGGAGAAAGGCTTAAGCAAGAGTTGACACTCACTGAGTAACTGTCTACTCTCTGGGAGCTGCAAAACCCAACTTCCATTACTTGATTGAAAACCCTTTTCTAACTCTTGCTGAAAGTGCTGTGTGGAATATACTGAATTTTAAAGCTAGAATGAATTAAAATTAATTTTGTTCTGCAGCTCTTACAGAATACTCTGAGAGGGCTGTTGATCTTCCATGAAAGGCGTGTAGTTCACAGCGACCTGAATCAGCTTCACAAATAGTTCTCAGTGACTAGGGGACTAGAACCAGTGGAAGTTCTGTTCAGCCGGAAAAGGAGGAGGGGCCTCTGCCTCCCACCCCTCCTCCTTCACCACGAAGGACAGGCAGAAAGCCTTCCTGTCCCTGGCTGTGCCTCCAGCATCTTCTGCCGCTTTTTTGTGTGGTTTCCTCTGCTAGTGTTCATTTGTAGCAAATGCACACCGGCATGCACAGTTCTAACACGTCCTGCAGAAACTGGTCCTTCCGCACAAGCAAAGCCTGAACGAGCCCGTGTGACGTGGGCATCGATGCTGCGCTGAACACCAGCGTCAGAAGGGAGTACCTTGTAGTAACTGTTGCTCCCAGAAAGTGAATGCGAGGCTAACAAATTCTCTGACATCCTCCCTTCCAAGGTGGAGCCTACTCCCCCACTCCACTGGCTGCAGGCTAGACACTGCCACTCACTGCCAAGGAACAGAGCATGATATAAGGGGCAGTGTGCGACTCTGCAGACCAGGTCACCAAGGGCACTTGGCTTCCTCCTTGATTTCTTGCTCGGATCCGTCACTCTGGGGATCCTGCTGCCAGGTTGTGAGGACACTCAAGCAACCCCTTAGGGAGGCCCATGTGGAGAGAGACGAAGGCCTCCTGCCAACCATCACATGGGTGGGTGATCCTGGAAGTAGGTCCCCCTGATACTGTCAGGCCCTCGGACGCTGGTCCTGGTCTACATTCTGTCTCCAACCTCATGAGAACCCCTGAGCCAGAGCCACCCAGCTAAGCTACCTCCCAGTGCCTGACCCACACAAACTGAGATAATAAATGTTTGCTGTTTTAAAAGCCACTGAATTTGGGGGTAACTTGTTACGCAGGCTAGATAATGACTCTACAGACTAACCAGAGACTAGGAAACAAAAACTCAAACCAAGAAGCTCGGCACTTACCCGGGCATCTTGGTCAATCAGCTCGTAATCAATGACAGAGCCATCCTCTGCTCTTCTACCCTAAAGAGAGGGAAAAAAAAGAACAGTAAGTGAGGGATGGTAACAGCTCAGTGGTAGAGCACATG